CGTTAGAGCCTGGTTCTGTTTCTCGGCCCCCGTTGACTTTGTTTGAAGGGTTCTGAGTGTGGGGTTTTTTTTTACTTTCCAGAAGAGGAACGAGCGCCACTTGCAGCCAAAAAATGCCATTTTTTGTTGCATCTCCTGCACAGCGAGACCTGAAAACGGGCTCGATTCATCTGCTTTTAGGTGTTCAGAAGTCAAACACCTATTTCTGAGTTTAGCGACTTGTCCCGGGACTCTTTTGGAGCCCACAAGACAACCAGCAACTCCCCGAAGGTGACCCAAGCGATGGTGGGAAGGACAAACTGAAGGTGGCCAAGTATCGGCGTCCACCCTCGCACTGTCGAGTCGTAATAAAATACGAGATAATTTCCCCTCCTGCCCAAAGGTTTGACTTTCAGGCTACAGTTACTCTTTATTTTTTCTATTTTCCATGTCCCAGGTGCGTGACCGTGAGCAGAAACCCACCGGAAAAGGTCTGTGGTTTATTTCTAAAACCCTACAGACTGTAAATACCAACGGTGCACACATTTGTCTAAATTCATACAACTTAGCCAAAATCCTTCAGCAAGTCGAACGCCCCGTGCTATCAAATCACGCCGATTTAACTCTTCGCTCCAGCGACGTTTTCCTCCCCGAAGGTTTCCAGCTCTTCTAGTCCAGGCTCATCCTTGTGATTTTAAGGACCCGCTGGGCTCTCCCCGACCTTGACGCACGTTATTTTTTCACCTTCCTTCTTAAACATGAGTAGGCAGAATCCCGCCGGACCGCGTTTCTCCATCCTCAGCCTCCTCATGATTTTATTCTGGGCTTTTTTTCAGCAGCAACGGCTTTTCCGGACGTTGTGGATGTTGCTTTGCTGCTTCCATCTGCTGGCAGAAATGCCACGGGACTTCATTTACGTGTTCGGGCTCCAATTTCAGGGGAAAAAGCAGAAAATGTTGGAGGAAAAGGAGAGATTTCTGAGCTCCTCCAGCAATGGCATCGCTTGCCGGATGCACACGTTATAAAAGCTTCCCCTTTTTTTTTTTTTCTACCTACCTGGTCTTTTAATTAACAGGAAAGCTAATTTAAATGAAGTTAAAAAAACAATCCATCAATTTGGAAGCACCCAGGCTTTGTTTTCAAACCTCAGCAGCGCTCCAGGAACCTCGTTTTTATTAATTTGATTTCTAAAATCAGTTTTCTGAGCCTGGGACAAGCAAACGGAGAGATGTTACCCCCGGTTTCATCGGGGGGGAGCGGGATCCAGCTGGTATTTTGGTACCCACCTCCGTGGCGTCGCCGCTATGGGGCTGCTCTGAAATTTAAATTTAATTTTCTGGGGATTATTACATTGAAAACTCTTTTTTTTTTCCTTTATGTCAGAAATAAAAGTTTCCCGAGTGGTTGGCGTGTTCCCGAGCCTGTCCATGGGACTGATGCCGATGAAACCCCGATTTCATCCTGCCCTCGGTCCAGACGGCATCACCTGGCAACGCCGATCGCTGAGGATTCTTCCCCATAAAACCGGGTGAAAGAAAAGAAAAATCACAACTTTCTGTGAAATTATTCAGTTCTCAGCAGCCTGCGACAAGCGTGACTGGAATTTCAGATCAGATTTGTTCCGTTACCGGTTGGAAAACGCTCTGAGACGTCGTCTGAAGAGGTCGCGACGTTCTTTGTTAGACCAAAACAAGAAGGAAAGAGCAGCCAGAGAGCGAGCATCGTGTTTTCCTGGCGTCAACTTCCCACAAAATCCAGAAAAAACCACGAATAAGATGCTGAATTTGACGAAATTTGTGCTAAAAGCGAGCCGAAACACACGTTTACTCGTCTCAAATTAAACCAGCCCAAACCTGAGCTGTAATTTTAGAAAGGCATCACGAAAAAAATACGAACGTCTAAAAACGGAGGTCAGGTCTCATTCGTTTCCTTGAACCTCGGTCGCAGCTTCACATCTGGACGGAAGGAAAACAGCTGGCAGCCGACACTTTCCTCGAGTGAAGTTCCTTCGACTTCAGCGGAGGGGGAAGCCACATCACCCGGAGGTTTTTACGGGAAGTTTCCGCTTATCGAAACCCAACCAAGATATTAATATCCACTTTCTCCATTTTTTGGGGGGTTCTTTCTCAAGTCAAACGTCCTGTAACCTCATAATTTGCTCCCCAATTTAGTAGTTTTCTCCCCAATTTAGAAGTTTTCTCCCCAATTGAATAGTTTTCTCCCCAATTGAATAGTTTTTCCCCCAATTTAACTGTTTTCCCCCCAATTTAATAGCTTTTCCTCTGATTTAATAGCTTTCCCCCCCAACCTAACAGTTTTCCCCCGTCTCTCATCTCCTTTCTGCTGTAACTTCTCAACCCTTTTTCTGAAGATTAAAGCAAACCGCGCTGATTTTCTTCTCCTTTCACGCAGCACGAGCTCCACCGCCTTGTCGTTGCGCTCCGTGTCGCTGGAATTGCATTTTTTTACTCCAATAAAACCTCTTCCCTTACGGATTTGGCTCCCGCGTCCTCGCATACGTCCCGCATTCCCTCCTCGCCGTATCTTTCCGGCACGCAGCTCCAGGCAGATTTTGGGGATTTTGCCGCTCGGTTGGGATCAAACGTGACGTGGTGAAGTTATTATGAAAGGAACTGCCTGAAATCATGGATACGGGGAACGCCCCGAGGGTTTTGAATGATAAAAGTTGAAAGGTTTGGGGCAAAAATCAAACATAGGAGCTCTTTGTCCCCTTGCAGTCGTTCTCCGCAGCTCCTAATTACCGAGAAATGAAGGAATCGAGATGATTTTTGGGGTGGCGGAGCGCTTGCGTGAAGCCAAGCGCTTCATTTGAAACGTGGCGCTTGTTTATCAGCTAAATACATTAATTACAAGCGGAGAGCAGAAAACTTCACCGTAAGAATGACAGAAGAGGTAATTAAAAAAGCCCAACCGAGCGGGTGCTGTCACTTATTTTCTCTCTAGGTGTTTTTCGGGAGAAAAGTGACATTTTGGAGACACGTTTTTTCTTCCTACTCCTTTATCAAGAAGGTAAGAGGACACAAAAAAGCTGCTATTAAACAAAATAAAGAGTTTAAGAAGCAAATCGGGTTGAGTCAGCTCAGTCCGCAGCAAAAACTATCATTTTTTTAAACCGTTTTTAACCACGCTGACGTTTTTTTGATGTTACTTCAAAACTACGTGGCCTTTACGCTGGAAAAATAACTCGAGACGGCGGCGTCCGTCGCAAATCGAAGCGGGCAGTGACAACGCGCGTCCTTACCTGCAGCTTCCGTGCCATTGCCACCACCTCGTGATCGGCGGGGTTGTACTTATAGCAGTTGGAGAACATCAATCGTACGTCCGCCGCGAATTCCTGAGCATCTCGGTATTCCCGGTTCTCCAGTTTAGACTAGAAAGGAGGAAAAACAAACGAACAAAAATTTCTCTGCTATTAACAGCGTAAATGCAACGAATCGACTGATTGAACGAATACAGCCCCGTGGCGCCGGCGGATTTCACGTCTCCATTCTTT